ATGGATAGCCAATGGAAAATCGCTTCCATCTTATGTCACACATCAAGTAAAAGAAATTCACAAATCTATTGAGGCCATTAAAAGTCGTGGCCCAGGAGTGTCACTATACCACGTTGACACTAAGAAAAACCCGGCAGACATAGGATCCCGAGGTGGGAACATGCAGCAATTATTAGAATCTTCCTGGCTTTATGGACCAAGATGGCTAGCCGGATTCGCGCATCCAAGGGAATGCCCATTTATCGTTAAAGTTGATATAAAACCACAAGTAGCAGACATACAACTCATACAAATTGAAAAAGAACTACACACGCCATTGGCGTACAACTTGACATATAGATCATCCCATTACGCAAACTTAAGAATCATAGTAAAATTAGGCAAAATAGCAAGGGCCTGGATGAAGAAAACATTCCCAAATAAGGTAATGATGTCCGACATACAGTTTTTGACGGATGAATCAGTCACATCCGCAGACGACATAAAAGTAATAGAACGCCTTCTGATCAAACAGGCGCAACTCCAGTTAAAATTAAAAGAACTTGAAGAACGTCACAAAGGCTTTGAATTCTTCAAGGATGATCACGGTATCATCAGGGTGAAGAGCAGGCTACAAAACGCACCTCTTCCATATGATACGAGAAACCCAATTTACATACCACATAATTCACCATATACAGAACACTTGGTGATGCACATCCATAGAGAAACGCATCATCAAGGAAAAGATTTCGTAGCAATACGTCTACGACAGGAGTATTTTGTGAACAAGCCTAGCCAAATAATAAAAAAGGTTATTAAGAGTTGCGTCGTATGCAGACGCTATCATGCACTTCCGTTTGGGACTCCTCAAATGCCATCGTTACCGAAGGATAGAGTAACAATGACAAAGCCGTTTGTCAATACAGGTTGCGACCTATTAGGTTCATTACAGCTTAGGAACAAAGAAAGAGTGCATATCTGTCTTTTTACATGTATGACGACTAGAGCCATACATCTGGAAGTGGTGCCAGATCAGTCATCAAAGGCATTCATGAATGCTTTTAACCGCTTCCTCAGTAGAAGAGGGGTACCAGAACTAATGAGAAGCGATGGTGCGGGAAATTTCACATTGAGCGCAAAGATGATTGAAATCTTTGAAAATTGCAATGAGCAGCAATTAACAACAGAAGGATTAATATCCTATTTTGCAACCAAACGTATAAAATGGTTGTTTAACACTCCACTCGCACCTTGGAAAGGTGGATGCTGGGAGCGATTAGTAGGGCTTACTAAGCTCGCTTTAAAAAAGGCAATAGGAAAAAGATTATTAGATCTAGACGATTTTACAACGCTTGTCACAAAAATAGAAGCGATATTGAATACTAGACCCTTAACTCACCCAGACCC